TATTTACCTGTTCCGCGGACAAATTTATTGTTATTTTCTCCTCTTTATGTTATGTGTAATGTCTGTGATAGTGTAAGTGAACTTGATACGTTTAGTACCTCCAAAATCAATCTCAAGAGTTTATTTTTAACAATTGGATAATTTATGTTTATGTTTATACTGCTTACATTTTTGTTTTTGTATCACTTTTTGTTTTTTCCCTGCCTGTTAATTGGAACACTCTGTTCAGGCAGTGTATGGATTATAAATAAATAAATAAATAAATAAATAAATAAATGCAAATGAAAATTTAAAATTATTTCCATGACGCCGCAAAATAGCTCCGTCGGTACCTCGGGTTATACATCTTGACAGTAAGGATGTTCGATAGTATCTTATATTTAGAAGTATCAATTCATTTCACGAGTATCTGCATCTTTCGATCCGGACTATGTCAGAAAGAGTGACTGCCATTTGGCTGCGACATTACCCTGCCATATCTTTCATCATTTTCAAAGAAATTGTACAAAATCTTCAAATTTGTGAACTTAGCGAGTTTCACTTCATACGTTATTACCAGACATGACCAAATCATCAGTTGCTGCCGTGATATTCATCCCGACCACTGCATCCCTACGGCTAGGCGACCTGTATGTTACATTTGTATTGATAGGGCAGCGGGCTATGCTATAAATCATATGTCACAGTTTTTGTGCACTGATTGCAACGGTTAGATGATACCAAAAATATTTTCATAAATAGGAGATCTTTCCCATTCCGGATCGAACAATCCACCAAAGATGCTTATAATCATGATACCTAGTAAATTTACATGAAAAATCCTCTGTAGGTATATAAGAGCTTTCTTATATTTGTTCGTCAATTTGATGATATATCACATCTGCTAAAAATGATCATAATTAGGATAGTAAACGACCATGACGGTGTTCACATTTTTCAAATATTCTTCAAGAAGTGTTATCAGTCTAGCTCCAACTATCATAAGTACTATGTTTGTATTCCTACTTTAAATTCAAAACCAGCAAATGTAAAAGATTCATGTCGCACCCTTCATCACGGGACGTGATCGTCATTAGACTTGGCAACCCTGCGAGTGACAGATAGATAACCCCACTAGTGGAAAAAGCACTCAAACAATAAACATTATGAGTTTTTATGATTTTTGGACTTAGAAGACATTATTTGTGAGACATTTTTCATAATTTTTTGTTTATGTCCATAGTAATTGCATTATGCATCACGGAGATGTAGGGATTGACACGTCTTACACATATTATCTGTGTTTTAGGATGGAGAGGACAATGCTTTTATTGCTTTAAAGAAATTCATTAACCCGTAAATTAGTAAATGATTACTATTATGATGTAAAGGAAGATGAGGCATTGGATGGAATGTATTTCCTTGCAAAATACAGACAAATCCACACTATTCAACATGTATGTAATGATAACAGTAGATTGAACTTAAATTCGAGATTGCCATGCATTAACAAACGTCCAAATTTGCTGCTAAATTTAACAGCTAGAAAATCGACCTATTATTTGCCGCATTCCCATTGGCTTTTGGGGATAACTGATTGTTAAATGTAAATTTATAACACAAATCAAAATACATGAAAGTTGACCTGTTTTCTCTGTACAAAAGCATCATGTTGGAATCAAGAAGTGGTCTTGTTTATAATACACATTCACGATTTTATTCAATATTTTAATAGAAATACTGATATTCTGAGACCTTTGACAGCTTCTGTAAAATTGCATTCCGATAAGGTATTTTCCCATTGGTCCATAATATTAATGTTGGTGAAATTGGCCCTTAGGCTGTTCAAAAATTGGGTTGTCTTTACGTCCTTATTAATCGCGGTACCGATTTGAGATATCTGAATGGGTAAAAAAATCACAATATTTTTTTCAAGATAACCATTGCATGAACATTATTACTGCATCCTTGATCATATATAATGTAATATATCTATTGAGATACACAAGATTGCTTCAAGTATATTTTTTATCAGACCAGAGTAATAAGTAGTCCAAGCCAGGTGACTGAAAAGCATACGATTTTCTCCCAATTTTACAGCAGTATTTGAATACTCGTCAAGGTTCATGCAATCTCTATATTTTTTTATCAATAACCACGGAAACAAATCATTTTTCTACATTTAAGCCAGACATTTCAAAAACGAAATATTATATTTTAATACCATTCTAGTTTCATATCAGATTTGTAAACATTTATTTGGATTGATATTCTCATAGCAGGCCATGTAAATTTTACAGGGATTGTCTCAGACACAAATCGGCAATTTTTTTAGAAATTTTGTAGAAACATGTGTTAATGTAACGCTGTAAGCTCCGAATTCTGCCGTTTGCCAGGAAACCAGATAACATTTGTTGTAAGTTCTGGAGCTATGTTTGTATATTATTTGTGCTTATCTTGGAAATAAAAACAATTCATTATTATTATATTTTCTGATACAATTTCGTTTTTTAACTGATGACTGATTAACATAACAATTTCAGCGATATAATATTTCATTTTATACAATTACCTTATTTGAGCAATAATTCCCTAGATCAAGTTGTACGAACTAACCCACGCATTACCACATGATTCTTGTACGTATATTCGCTCATTACACAATATGTATGAGTTACTATAAGTGTGTAGATACAAATAGATAACTTTAATCGCCTTTGTTATAACACTATTGTTAGCAGTTAGATATTTTTCTCTGTTAGTAAAATCTGGCTGTAAATGTTAATGGGTAATTTAAAGGTTTTGCATAGACGTAGCAGCTCAAGTAATGAAGAGGTTGGAAAGTATGAGTCTGTCGGGGAAATCTGCAATAAATCAGTCTGTATTCTGCTTCAACGTTGACTATTCCATATAAACATTCGTTTGTCCGTATTCTGGGCTGTGAAGCGATCTATTAAGTCAAACAAATGTTCTTCGTTTGCTTTGTGTCGGTATGTTTATTTTTCATAGAATTGGCTTGGATAAATGCTGTGTTTACTTGTCATTCTGATGAGCCAGAAGGACGACCAGTAACGATGAGAGACCTGGAAGTTATCACCTCTTGGGGACGCAACAATCTGATCCAAAACATAGTACTAAATCTTGACTAACCAGAAGCTCCGTAGCGGTTTTGATGGACCATTCGCTTTGGCTGGTCGGAGTCCAGATCACGACTTGATTTGAACACTTCTCGTCCTTGGCAATAGCTGCCGGTAAACAGCTAGAGTATTAGTTTAAGGCTAAGAAGTAATTTTCTACGCACAACTTCCTCACTCTATACAAGGCCCAGATAAGACGTAGCCTCGCGTACTGCTCACATGTTTGGGATTCTGCCGGCCCGACTACATTGCCCATACTCGATACTGTTCAGAAGAGGGCTGTTGGACGATCGCTCCTACGTTCCTAGGGTGTCAAGATTGTGAAACAGGAGGTTTTTCCCAAATCTAACATAGGTAGTTCAAACATCGGATTTTCAAGGCGTCTTCAAGCTACGTACGGCTATTTTATAAAATACCTAAAAAACGTCAAAATACCGACTAAATGTCATCTTGCAGGCTAGGTAGTTTTGAGTGTGCAAATAGTTCATTCCACGTTTGGTTGCTATGATCGCTGTTCGCTGACATTTAAGCAACACGAATAGCTACATAACGAGTTCACAAGTGTAAACAGCTTGTGCTAAGTTAACATCTTGGAGGAAAACGTATGAAACATCAAAAAAATGGACGAAACGTCACTTTTTAAGATACCTAATACCAGTGTCGTTATTCAGGTTTCTGCGTACGCGACTGGTTCAGTATAAAAAAGGTAATCTAAAAAGCTCATGTGAGATGTAAAAATTGCACCCCTTCCAAAATACAAAGTATTTAATATCGATTATTTATTTCAAATTCCCGATTACACTCATGTTACGTTAATTGTATAATATCCGTCGTAACATCCCTACTGTATGCGGATCCTGTGTATGGTGCGCCTATGCTGTTCCAACACATTAGTGGCACGTACGAAAGCAACATTCGTAAATGCTATCCGATTGCCAATTGGACCTTTTTGAATCGATCTATAAGAAACGGATAAGTTATTGATATTTATGAGTGGTAAATGTCAACTGTCAACGGGCGTATGTGCGCTTTCCTGTTTGCTTACAGCGGGTGTGTATGTGTTTTTGTCTGTTGATTTCTTAATATCGCGACTGGTATTTCGAATGGTTTTTCAAGACAAAAACCGATAGCCTTTAGGCGTTTATTTACAAATAGGCTAGTTTCGCCATATATGAATTTTAACGTAAACTAGTTGTAGGAAAGTTAAATGTTACTATGTTGCGATATGGCTTGTTGGAATTAATTTCATCGATTATTTAATGTCACTACGTGATATTTGATGAAATTATATCTTGTTCTTTTGCGTTTCCTGTATACCGAGTGATACAGGATGTGGTTATAGCTTTTTTATTTTTTGTTGATATTTGAGGGTATAATGTATAGTTGATCCTTCAGTTGAGGCCTCCTCTTAAAACAGCTTTTTTGCCTTGAGACCCTTGTCACTTACGGCCGTATTCACCAATTCGGCGTTTGCCAGACTGTTATTTATCAGTTGTACAAAATATAACAGTCAGTTAAACAATAGTGGTACTCACCAAGACTTTTCGGCTTGACTTCTTTTGCTCATCAGGTTAGGGGGCCTTTTGCCCAAAAATTACTGCGATTCTAACTGGCAGAAAAGCGAATGTCTTTAACAAAAAATGCCAAAGATAGATTATACATTATATGAAAAAAGTAGTCAGTGTAAAGAAATAAAGAATAAATCGTAGTTTTAGATGTTCAGATTGTTAAAGAAGTGCTAATCTAGGTATTTTGTGTTTGTGAAACTTTTCGGCTTCTGATAACAAACTGACTGTCATACAAAAATCTTAAATTTCTTTAAGTTGGTGCCTCTTGACAAAAAACGAGAGAACCACATCTAACCTCACTTTATAGCTGGTGTGTGTTGTCATGTGGTTGTCATTCACGGTGTCAGTTTTGAAATGGTTTTTCATCATGGAAAAGTCAAAAAAAATAGATCAGCTAAATATACATCAAGAGACAATAATTTCCTTCGTTGAAAAATATCGAAGTATAATTGAAGACAAAAAGACTAACTTGGTATTTAACAAGCAGAAAAATGAGTGTTGGGAGAAGCTTGCCGGGGTATTCCATTCAAACGACTGGCCTCAGAACTGGCCAACAACTAAAAAGCAAAACAACCTAAATCTGAAGACAAGGTATGATTATTCTCACAGGATTTGGGCAGGTGAATTTGTTAAAAACGGATAGTGGGGTATCGGGTATCCTCGAACTACTACATTTGATGATAAACTGTTAATCCTTTTAGTTATATTAAATAAGAGTATATTAAGTATTTATCATTAAATTGAATTACTATTTCTGTTCCCATGAAGATACAAGTGCCGATGATAACTTATAGGCAAAGTTATCTGTATATACAGGGTGACTTTGAAGTTGAGTCATTAATTTTCAGATAATGATTGTAGAAGGAAGATAAACCAAAATATGTGTGTAAAAATAAAAAAAAATGTTACTTTGTTTTATAAAGTATCCTCCCGACAAGTATTTCAGTGCGGACCTGTATATGATCGTGCGGTCTTGGAGCACCGGCATGCCCTCCCCTGTGAGGTCTTAAGTCACCTGATTCACGAGCCCTTTGTACTACATTCAGCATTTTCGTAAACATGTGCCATTTTTTATTTCGTTTGAGCCACGCAACAAACACCACTATTCACTCACGCGTTACCGACTGACACATTGACTAAATACAACTGAATAAAATTGTACATTGTAGTAAAAACATCGTTTCAAATTCTTTCGCTTTTTTGTTTCCGATGAGATGAACGGATAAGGCGGATTATATCCGTTGTTGCCAAACACGAGCACATAATATTATTATTGAGACAGGGCGGTACTCAAACTTCTAAAGTGCTAAAACTTTGTTACTTTAATTTTACCAGAAAAATGTTAAAGGAAAAAAACATTTCTTTTGATCAGATCTATTCACTGTTAAAATAAATGATTCAACTTCGAAGTCACCCTGTATATTGAGTACATAAAATAATTTAATTATGAATTTTATTTTAAGCGGGTAGACACGTTGAAGACATAAATCTTTACATGATAATTAATTTTTCATGACAACATAAAAATTGATAAAATTATTGAGTCTCTTGTTGCAGTATTTTGAGATCCAATTCGGACCTGGATCTTTTCAATTTGTTCCATTTCAGATCTATTCTCAAAAAAATCGATAGTGTCATTTTGTTCTAAGCACATGTTGTGCAGCACAGCAGTTGCCACAATAACCTCACACATAGTTTCAAGTTTTAGCCCCCATATCAAGATTTGGTTTTCTTTTAAGATTGGCTGGTTCCTTTCATTTATCGGTTCTATAACATTTTGCAATACAGTTTTCAGTCGCCTAAATGTATTTTTATTTATTCTAAATCTTCTTTTGAACCCCAAATCATCTAGTTCAAACAAGGGAAACCTAGTTCTTACAATTCTTTCTCTCGGGTTATCTTCAATGTCACTCGTGTCTGTTTCCGAAGATTCTAATATGTCGGTAATATGAATTCTACTGAGGCGATCCATTTTGATACTTGTACAAAACAAGCCCTTACTCGCTGTTCGCTGACTGTATTTTGTAAATCACTTCTAACAAATCTTCAGGCAAAATAAAGTCGTGATGACACTTTTGACTTTTTAGTATTAAACAGTCAGTTAGTGGTTTACCAGCCCAACATCGCGCTGTTAGCTTATCCATGACTTTAACAGACTGTTTGCTATGATGTGTTGATGGTGAATACTAAAAATGGATTTAACAATGTGTTAAATAATTTAACAGTCTGTTAGGGAATGGTGAATACGGCCGTTAGAAGGACAATAAGTTCTGAAATATCTTTCTCAAGGAAGACGTCCTTGCACCTCCTCAACAAGCAGATTATTAATATATTAATATGATGGTTGATGCGGAATTTGTTTTGTATGGACGTAACAAACTCAATGACTAGTAGGTTAATTCGTTGCTTCATAGCATTAGTCACATAAAGCAATATCATATATATAGAACGGGTGCGGCCCATAGGATTTTTTGGGCAGGGGCTAATAATAATTTATAATACATATAATATTTTTGAAATTATAAATGGTCAACATAAAAAAATTAAACCTTCAATTGCCAATTTGCCAATAACTTTTCTAGAGAGTTTTTGTTCTTAATTTTGGACTGGCGGGTCACAAAAAATATTAAATGCAATGTCATTTTGCCCCTAAAACAGGAAACTCTTTTTGGTGCTATTTTGGGGGAATTTACATTCATACATGACTTCAATCTATACAGTGAAGCTAATACTAATACAACTTTTATGGATTGTTTTAGATGAGTCGAATTGCGCGTACTTGTAAGAAAGTATTTGAAATCTCATTTTACGCAGCGGTGGCATTCTTTCGTGTATTTTTTTAGTATTTGTGAAGCAACTGGAATCAAAAAATATTCTAGGAAAGTTGATAAAAAATATACGAATATCTCACTAGAAAAAAACGTATTTTCCTGTGTTCAAGAGGCAAAGTATTAATAGGTATATCTTTTTGTTTCGTGGTTAAAAATTAAAAATAAAAAACATTTTTTTCAATATCTTCAAAACCGACAAATAAGATGAACTAAAATTTGGTATATATTGTCCAAATTCAAAAGGCTTCACTTAAAATTAACGTGCACCAGTGGCGGAGATTCATGGGATAAGTGGCATTATTATTCCAAATAGAAATAGTATGCCACCGTTTCTTGTTCGAAACGCGCAATTTTTCTAATTTTACCTTGTTTTTTCATTCATGAAGAGCCTAGATACAATTGGTTTCAAAATAAAATAGGAGGCCTTGATACCAACTTGACGTTTCTTGTCAGATAGTTTATCAAAGTTATGGTAACAGGTTGTTATCGTTACTACTACAGATGAATCGCTTTTTACGAGGAGTGGAACCTTTAATTCTCATACTGAACATATTTGTTCGTTGAAAAATTCCCGTTCTGTAAGAATCCATTCGTTTCAACACAGATTTTCTAGAAATATCAGATGCGCCATTTTCAATGGCCAACTGTTTATGCACGTATTGCCACAACCTTTAAATGCAAACTCATACTTGGCTTTTCTATAGAATTACATAGGAAATGTGTTAAATAATGTTCCGTTAACAACGAGAGTACGAATGTGATGTTCGTCGTGACATATCATACATAATCATTTTAAACAACGATGGATTGGCAGAAACGGACCCGTACATTGGTCTGCCAGGTCTCCTGATTTGAAGCCTCTCGATTTCTTTTTGTGGGGCGCTTTTAAACAACTAAGGTATGCTGAACAAATTAATACTGTTGATCAGTTGCAAGAAAGAATAGATCATGCGTTTCATCAAATTTTGCGGAAATAACTTTTTCTTTATCAAAAAGATGTCGCAGTTGTATCCGTCAGAATGATGGTCTTTTTGAACATTTATTGAAATAAAGCTTTGATTATCTAATTTGTTTTTTTTATTTGTAGAAAATTGAAGGTAACATGCGAAAAATTACGCGTACTATTTTTATTTGTAAAGATAATGCCACTCATCCCCTGTATCTTCGCCACTGGTGCACGTTAATTTTAAGTAAAGACTTTTGAATGTGGACAATACTTAGGTAAATCCACATATCAAAGTTTAGTTCATTCCAGTTGACGGTTTTTAAGATATTAAAAAAAATGTTTTTAACTTCTGAACTTCTTGTTAAAATGTTACATAGAAGACCCCCTTAAAATGCGGTCCTGTGTATGTTCTTTCATTTTTGGTCACGACTTGTGAAACAACCTGTATATCTCCATACTATTTATTTATATTTTTTTTTAAATAGGTTTAAAATTTTTGAGGCGATCGTCTACAGGTTTCAATAAAACATACACAAAATTTGTTAGACTTATCGATATTTAATCGCAAAGTAAGAAAAAATGACGAAATGATACATGATCACTGGATCCATTGCTTGAATTAATGTTTTGGACCTAGAACCCTACATTTGGAACCCTAACAAATACTTTGTCACCGTTAAAAAATATTAAAAACGAACGTCGCTGCCCCTCAGTCTCAAACTTGAAATGAGTGAATTACTGCTTTGCAAAATTTGGGATGGATAAAAAACCTACTGGCGCTATAGCTACGTCCGTCGACGTATTACTTCACCTAAAAATTGTCAAATCGTCAGAACGTGATCAGTGTTCGAGGGGGGGGGGGTAGCGGGGCAGCAAGTTGACGAATGTAACTTTAAAAGAAATATTTGACGAGACTTCTGTCACTCTATTCGCGCATTTAGCCATAAGGTTCTTTCATGAAAAGTGAAACCGTACACTTCACATTTTTTTATAACTCGATCGCGTTGACATACGACAACAAATTCGTATCGTGTGCTTAATGGGCATTGTATAGTCACGTCTTGACACTTTTTTCGTGTCCCACGAAGTGATGAAGGCATATGTTACACCTATTAGCATCGGCGTATTGTTGCCGAGTTTCTAATGATTTCCCAATGCTGTGTGTTTCAGTTGCAATCTGTAAGACAAATCGCTTGTGTCAACGTTCAACGCCGCTATTGCCTGATGGTGATAAAATAAATGATGGCGAAGTCTGCCAGGATGTGGTAACGTGGTTAAACATTCACATATAGGAAATTTGATCGCAAGAAATTTAGCATTTAGTAATACTGATAGGAAGGGAAATGTAGCAACTAGGTCACTTTTGGCCCATTCTGCAAATTCTTTGAATATAAACTATACCTGGCTTCTTTTTCGATCTTAGTCAGTCTTCTAATAGTAATCAGAAATAGACACGTTTGAAATACAGTTCATATGAGGTAAAACAGCACTGTAAACGTAAAAATAGTAATTGAGGAAAAATACTCATTTATTTAGTACGGCCTCTCAAGTACTGCCCACATGTCGTTATCGCCGTTCGATTTTAAAAACACGAATTTATTTAATCCTTCCTAAATGTTGGGGCTGCTTAGGGCCACCCAGAAATGGAATGGAAATATGGAGGACGACAACTATGTTATTGCTATAGAAATGTGCCAATTTCGATTTTCAACTGCGGTTTGGTTATAAATTATATTAACCTACACACCACGCGACACTTGATTTGGAATTGACTCACAAAACATTTTACCGTCAGACGTAGGAGGGGCGGGAGCCAGGGTCGGAATGGCTTCAAATACATTTTTGTCATTAGGAATACATGCTTATTATTGATTAACCCCTCTAGGGAAACTAAAGTAAAGTCACAACACAACAACACATATCTTCTACAATATACACGATACCTCCTCCTCTTAACACATGGGGCAGATAGGATCTTGTTTTACTACAAAAAGACAGATACC